AGAGGAGAGGAGAGGAGAGGAGAGGAGAGAATTTTTAGTCTAACTTTAAAGATTTAAGTTACTAAATAACTAAATTTAATGCTGTTCAGAATCTTACATATGCTTTCTTAAAGAAGTCACTGAAACATGCATTTGGCCCCCAAAAATACACATGGAAACTAGTTGCCATAGAGACCCCAATAGATACCTAGAAGTATAGATACTTTGCCACCATCAAATACCACAGGTTGGGGCAAACCTTGAGTTATAATTTTGGAGTAAAAAAAGCCAAAGAAGAGATGTGGAAATCGAGGGAGAAAAGGAAGCTTTAAAAAGTACAGAAATGTTTGGTGCATAATCCACAACTTCTCTGGGCAACCTGTTCCAGAGGGTGGGGAGGTACTGGGACAGGTTGCCCAGAGAAGCTGTGGATGCCCCATCCCTGCGAATGTCCAAAGTCCGACTGGATGAGGCTTGGAGCAACCTGGTCTAGTGGAAGGTGTCCCTGCCCATGGCAGGGGGTGGGACTGGATGGTCTTTGAGGCCCTTTCCAGCCCAAACCATTCTGTGATTCTATGATTCTATAATTCCTCAAGATAAGCCACAGGATGGTGGAGGTTGGAGATCATCTACTCAAAGATCATCTTTGGTCAAAACCTCAGTCCTCGGTCACACTTTGAGTGTCTCCAAGGATGGAGGATCTTTGGGTTGGGGTTCACCAACGCACCTTCACATACTCTTGCACCACTTGCTCGGGGGTGTCTCCCAAGAAGACGTAAAAGTCGAGAATTCCACCAATTGTTCGGTAGGTGACGGCCGGCGCTGGCTGCAGGGCGAACTCTGCGAGTACAAAACACATGACATCAGTGTGGGGTATCCCCCAAATTTCAAATAACTGCGGTGCTGATACAAAAGGTCTAAAAATTGTTGAGGAGAAAATATCAAACAAAGATATCAAAGGAAACCAAAAACCATTTCTGGAGCTCACAATGCTGCTGGAACATTCTTGGCTTTTTTTTTTTTTTTTCTAAAAATATCTATTCTTACATTCTTTTACAGCCCAGAAAGAGAAGAAAACCCCAAGGGCACAACTTCTTCTCGTTAAATTTTCAGTCTCAAGACACTCGGATATTTGTTGCACACCCAAATTCGTACACGCTTACCAGAGGGAAATTAAGGGCATGTTTTTACAAGTGCTGTTCACTCTAAATTTATTTCTACAAGTGCTGTTCACCCTAACTTTAGGCTCAAATTTCAATACCCTGTGGTGAAACACCCCTGAACACGAACAAAAATGCCTATGAGGTGCGTGACCCTGGTCTCGCACTACAACCCAAACGCTGGACACACAAAGAAATGTTGGGAAAAACCGGGCGCCCTCACAGACTCGAAGACAACTTTCTTCAAAATAGGCTGGGTGATTGTCTCCCTATCAAAATGTGCACCAGCTCGGTGGGATCGCACTGCAACAGCCAGCAGATAACGGAGTTTTGGCTTTCAGTCCTTACAGAGCAGGAATCTTACCCATGGCATTGCTATTCATCAGGAAAACACCAAGAGAGGCTCCCGAGTTGTCTTCTAAACACAGGAAGAATGTCTGAACACCGTATAAGTTGTCCATGTTCTTAAAGGAAAACAGAAAAGCTCATTAAAACAACCCAATCACTACATGCACCTGGGGGAATCTCAACAATACATCATACGTGAGGTTAAATTTGTCTGAAGGGAACAAAGAGCAAAACTAAAATGGACAACATTAACCTCATTTTTCTTATTTCCTTCTTTTTTTTTTAAACTATTTTCTCTCTCAACCTGGACAGGCTGGAGAGGTGGGACCGGGTCAACCTCATGGAGGTCAACAAGGCCAGGGGCAAGGTCCTGCACCTGGGTTGGGGCAATCCCAAGCACAAGGACAGGCTGGGTGGAGAGTGGATAGAGAGCAGCTCCGAGGAGAAGGACTTGGGGGTACTGGGGGATGAAAAACTGAACATGAGCCGGCCGTGTGCGCTGGCAGCCCAGAAAGCCAACTGTATCCTGGGCTGTATCCAGAGAAGTGTGGCCAGCAGGTCGAGGGAGGGGATTCTGCCCCTGTGCTCTGCTCCAAGAAGACCTCATTGCAGCCTTCCAGTACCTGAAGGGGGCTACAAGGGTGCTGGGAGAGGACTTGTTACAAGAGCCTGTAGTGACAGGACAAGGGGTAACCGGGTTAAATGGGAAGTGGGGAGGTTTAGATTGGACATCAGGAAGGAATTCTTCCCAGAGAGGGTGGGGAGGCACTGGGACAGGTTGCCCAGAGAAGCTGTGGATGCCCCATCCCTGGGAGTGTCCAAGGCCAGGCTGGATGAGGCTTGGAGCAACCTGGTCTAGTGGAAGGTGTCCCTGCCCATGGCAGGGGGGTTGGAACTGGATGGGCTTTAAGGTCCCTTCCCACCCAAACCGTTGGGTGATTTACATGAATGCCCTTAAGTTGTTTAAACTCTGTTGAAAACACTTGTTTAGGTAAACCGACCTTCAGTGGAGTCACTGGGAGAAAGACCCATCTTCAAGCCTCCACACACACGTTATTTAAAAAATAAAAGTTATAAATTGCGTCTCCAGTGGGGACAGAAAGAAAATAAAGGCAACAATTTCACACATTGCCGATAATGAGGCAAATTCAGGTTTCTGGTTCAAAAGCCACGAGAGATGAACCAGCCCATCGATGACGGCTGAGAGCTTTTGGGGACGTTAATTAATGCAAACACCGTTGCTCCCCGAATCCCGTTCACGTCACTCCTGTTTCATCAAAGGACGTCAGGACTCCAAACCCAGCGTAAGGATCGGGGCGATATCGAACGGCCTCAGTTCAACGCTCGTTTAATCTCATCCCTATCTCAAATCACGAGCAACGATATGGACCAGAGTTTGAGACGCTGTAATTATAGATCAGCTGATTTAGCAACTCAAATCACATTTAAGATCGTTATTCCCTCTCAGGCAAACTGCGTGACTCGTCTTGCTCCACAGCACTGGTTACCGCCAGGAATGTGAAGTTTTATCTCGTGGGTTTTTTGCCACGTTGCCCTGTCCAGTGCCCACGCACTCAACCAAGAATTTCCTTTTCCTCATCAAGACCAGAATCTGTGAACAACTACTCAGCAATAACGTTGGGCTGTCTATTTCCCCCAAGTCCCAACCCCCAAGAAAAAAATGTTGTGTGCGGGAATCCAAGTCAGAAAACACAGTAAGCAAAAATACCAAAACTGAGTATAAATAGCAAGGACTGATTTTAAAAGAACAAATTTTGCGGTTCGACACGGTGACAGAGCAATAGAGTGTCAAAAATGTGTGGATTCGGCATAAAACATCTCACTGCGGCTGGGACATGTTTTTGATACGTGTGGAAAACCAGATGCCCCAGACATCACCTTGGGAAAAAAGGCAAAAAAACGTAGAAACTAAATATTTGCTGGCAGAGCTGTTTTGCTTTATAAACCAACGGCTGCCACGGGCAACTGTGCGCTATTTCCTAAGATACGATGCCACGGATGGAAAAAACCCATTTCTTCCAAATTTTGCACACAGTGGTGCACAGGCAGGGAAAAAAAATGGCAAAAGGCAAAGCCTGATGGGTGTTAATGTTCGTCGGCTGATTAATTAAATTATTAATCCAATGGAAAGCTATTCCAAGGGGAATTCTATTCAGCGGTGCCTCACATTTTGCGATACATGGCGAGTCGTTAAGGAAAAAACCCCGCAGTCAACTCTGAATTCCAGAATTGACCGGAAAAGGAGGAAAATGTAGTAAAACAAGCACTTACTCCCGAAGGGGCCGAGTC